CAGTGTGGTTTTTTTGTCATTGCTTTTGGTAGTTATTTTTAGTTGTTTGGTTTTTTGTTTGTTTGTTTTAGTGGCATGTTTGTGTGAAATAATGTAAGTATATTCCTCGATATGTTGGTGTGAATTTGTAGGTTGGTTTGTGTGTTTGTATGTTAGTATTGTGCTAGGTAGTGTGTGTGTGTGTGTGTTTGTTTATTTGTTCGTTTGTTTATATTTGTATGTTAGTAGTTTGTTAGGTAGAATAAAACGTGTATGTGATAATATGTTTGTTAGATAGGATGATGTGTGTATGTTTGTAGTTTGTTAGAATAGTATATGTTAGTGTGTTTGTTTGTTAGATATGATTATGTGTTTCTTAGTGTGTTAGTAGTTTGTTGGCTAGGATAATGTGTTTTTGTTAGGAGTTTAATAGGAAGAATGTTTGTGTGTTTGTTAGATAGAATAGTTTGTTTGTTAGGTAGGGTAGTGTGTTTGTTAACTTGTACTTGTTCGGAGTTTACAAGGCAATATGTTAGTGTGTTTGTTAGGCAATGTGCTTGTGTGTTTGTTAGATAGGCTGATAGTGTTTTGTTTGATAGGATGGTGCGTGTGCCTGGGCGTGGTGTATTGCGGCATTCTCCTCTTCCCTCCTACCCCCTCCCCCTCTCCTCCTTCCTCCTAGCCCCTCCCCCCTCCCCCCTCCCCCTCTCCTCCTTCCTCCCTTGCCCCCTCCCTCCACTCTCCCTACCCTCCCCTTCTTCGTCATCCTCCTCCCCTTCTTCCACCTCCCCTCCTCCACTCTCCCTACCCCTCTTTCGTCATCCTCCTCTCCCTCCCTTCCTCTCCTCCACTCTCCCTACCCCTCCCCCTCTTCGTCATCCTCCCTCTTCCCTCCCCCACCTTCCTCCCTCCACTCTCCTACCCCTCCCCCTCTTCGCCATCCTCCTCCCCCTCCCTCCTTCCTCCCCTCCACTCTCCCCTTCGCCATCCTCTTCCCCTCCCCTCCTTCCTCTCCTCCACTCTCCCTACCCCTTCCTCTCTTCGCCATCCTCCTCCTTCTCCTCCTCTTCCTCCTCCTCCTCACGGCCCGCCGCTTGTGACTCATATGCTCTTCCACTTTAACACATACTGCTGCAGTGACTCATACGGTCTCGCCAGCTGATTCTCTCACAGGTGACTCAGACTACCCCAGCTGATTCTCTCTCAGGTAACTCAGACTACCCTGGCTGATTATCTCTCAGCTGACTCACTACCCCAGCTGATTCTCTCACAGGTGACTCAGACTACCCCAGCGGATTCTCTCTCAGCTGACTCACTACCCCAGCTGATTCTCTCTCAACTGACTCACTACCACAGCTGATTATCTCCCCCCAGCATATTAATACAGTTGAATCTCTTACTTCTCCAATACTCTCTCTCTCTCTCTCTCTCTCTCACAGATTTACTCATTAATAAGTTGACGATTAAATAAAGATTACTCTCTACTACAATCACCTAACTCCAAATGGTTAAGTGACAATGGTAAATAAACGCCATATACCTGACCCAATTACGAGATGGAAATACAAACTACATAATGATCACGTCAAAATATAATGGATTTAATAATATGATAATTTCCATAACTATACTGTACGTGATAAAGGAACAATGGAAGTATGGAATCTAGTGTGTAGCAGGGCAAAATGTTCAGCCTTTTATAACCTGATATGGTAATGTTTTATGGGTGATTATCTCGGTGTAAGTGACCGTCGACCTTTCTGTGAGAGATGCAACTAGACACAGTTTGTTGACATCCGTAGATATAGCGTTTACTGCATATATAGCCTATATATATATATATATATATATATATATATATATATATATATATATATATATATATATATATATATATAATATATATATATATATATATATATATATATATATATATATATATATATATATATATATATATATATATATATATATATATATATATATATATATATATATATATATATATATATATATATATATATATATATATATATATATATATATATATATATATATATATATATATATATATATATATATATATATATATATATATATATATATATATATATATATATATATCCGCTCTAAGTCTTGTTTCTTGGGTCAGTGTGAGCTAGGAATGAACCTAATTAGTAAACTAGCTGGATTGATATGAAGATCTTGTACGTAAGTAGATAATCCTGATAAAACCTTTAATAGGTGTAGCGCTGTCTCACGTAGTTCCGTAACTGTTTGATCCCAGAGGTATGCTAAACACTGCCTGACAGATGACTGAGAACGTCTAGAAGAGAGCCAGACTCTCATCCGCCTCACTTACTGTACATAGAGACTGGAACGCTTACAGTTGACACAAGGGTATAAAGCGCCTCATTGGAGACTATTTTAACAGTTTTATGTACTGTTTGTATCTGGAACTAGGGGATGACCTCCCCACCAGAGGTCACAGCCTCAAGTTAAAGAAGCTGCCTTTACAAAAAACTGTCAATACAAGCTGTTTAATCCCTTCACTGCTCGTAATGAGTGAGTGTGTGTCCTTCATGGTCCAGTGTTAGTACAGAAGGAAGGACATCATCTTAGTACCCGGGAGAAAACCTTTTCGTAGTGTCACTCTGGGATCGATCTTGGGTTGCAATGATGAGAGGTAGGATGAGTTTTTTATTCGAGAACCCTAAATAATTCCCTTACACAAAATACTTTATTAGTTAGGAACCTAATATTTTGCACAATTGATGGTCAGTGTTACAGAAAGATGTGACACGCCAGAATCATGCCATGTCTTTCTGTAACACTGACCTACAATTGTGCAAAATATTAGGTTCCTAACTAATAAAGTATTTTGTCTAAGGGAATTATTTATGGTTCTCGAATAAAAAAAAATCACCCTACAGGTAACAATACGTTTACGTAGGATTAGGTTGCGTTAACATCAGTTTAGGTTAATTTACGATAAAGTTGTTAAAATTGCATGAAGTTTAAGATTTAGATTAATTTGGAGATTTATATTAGATAAGGCAAGTCAGGTTTAGGTTGCTTTAAAATTAGGTGACCTTAAAGTTAGATTATGTTATGTTAAGGATAGATTACGTTAGGTTAAGGTTAGATTAGATTGTGATAAGGTTAGGTTAAATTAAGCTACGTCAACGGAATGGGTATAGAACTTCAGCAACAGACAGTATAAAGCTTCAAACAACAGACCGGGTGTAAAGCTTCAAACAACAAATCAGGTATAAAAGCTTCAAACAGACTGGATATTAAGTTTCAAACAACAGACTGGGTATAAAGCTTCAAACAACAGACCGGGTATAAAGCTTCAAACAGACTGGATATTAAGTTTCAAACAACAGACTGGGTATAAAGCTTCAAACAACAGACCGGGTATAAAGCTTCAAACAGACTGGATATTAAGCTTCAAACAACAGACTGGGTATAAAGCTTCAAACAACATACCAGGTATAAAGCTCTAAACAAACTGGGTATTAAGCTTCAAACAATAAATCAGGTGTAAAGCTTCAAACAACAGACTGGGTTTAAAGCTTCAAACAACAGACTGGGTTTAAAGCTTCAAACAACAGACTGGGTTTAAAGCTTCAAACAACAGACTGGGTATAAAGCTTCAAACAACAGACCAGGTGTAAAGCTTCAAACAACAGACCAGGTGTAAAGCTTCAAACAACAGACCAGGTGTAAAGCTTCAAACAACAGACCAGGTGTAAAGCTTCAAACAACAGACTGGGTTTAAAGCTTCAAACAACAGACTGGGTATAAAGCTGCAAACAACAGACTGGGTATAGAGCCTTATATGATTATTGTCTGGGCCGCGAGAAACTTGTCTGGTTTCACCCCTAGAAAAAAGTAGTTTTCACTCGGCCGCCGTGTTGCTGTGGTCTCAACTCTGCTATCTGGGGAGCTGCATGCATGATTAAAAATACCAAGCAAAAACAATAAGATAAAAAAAACACTTCGGTGATAACTTATAATTAGCAACAGGTTAATTATATATTCTACAAAAGAGTACAAAAAATTTCCTTACGTGTTTTATCTTGTCATAGAAAACGTAATATTCTGAAGAACAATGCCACCTTAAGCTCAGAACCGAGTCAAAATAGATACTTTTATTTCCCTTAAAGCTAAAATCAATCGTTCTAAGACACTCAAAATATGTGTATTTTTTTTAATTCATGTTGCCATTTATGTTAATTGGGTTTGGTTATATTTGCGGGTCGAGTGTTGAAGATTCCACTTGAACACGCCCTGTACTGTATATGTGAAATATTTATAAAATCGATGAAGCGTTTGGGAGTTGCCATTGCATGCACTATGGCGATCTACTTACAAGGTATGTGTTGCTTTGTCTGGCATTCCTGAGAAGTCATTAATCCAGTTTACTCACTTGAAAATTTACTACTTTTGACTGAAACAAGAATTAATTATTTGAAAGTCTAACATCATGAGTCAAAACTAGTCTTAACAAGAGTTCTTTAACATTCTACTAATCATAAATCAGCTATGTATACAACAAATAGATTTGCATAAAATCTACAATCTTATGTTAAACTTACGGACTCAAGAGTTTACATACGGATACAGTGGCGGCTGCCGATACACCATAACGCATTGTATAATGTATATCAATGTTCATGTATCGTTTCGTTATCTGAAATTATACCTTAGTTGGATAGCTATTCTAATTGGTACATTAGTATTAAATTGTCAATAATCAAGATAGATATTCCTTTGTAAATAAAAATCGAACCAGAAACATGATTTTCTTGTTCCCGCCAGATCTACTGAAGGAAAGCTATCCAAATTTTTGTGCTGATACTGCGCACAGAATTGTTCATAATTTTTAAATATTTATTGATATAATTTATTTATATATTCAAAATAAGAATAGCTAGAAATATTAAAACAAACTAATAACATTGATTTTTTTATTATTTAGATTCTGATTTGACTTAACGGTCGCCCCTCCTAGCTCGATTTTTCAAGCAGGGAGTCGGGCCGTCAGAGACCGCAGTAGCCCGGCCGACACAGTTGAGGAAGGACACACCGCTTCGTTCCAAACATGAGGGAAATTGTACACATCCAAACTGGACAGTGTGGTAACCAGATTGGCACCAAAGTAAGTAACCTCGTATACAGTATCCTGAAATTGTTATTTTGTTAAATTTTTTTGTATTGTAAGATATTTTCAGGTGAAAAACTTTGCGGCCGGTTGGTGTCTGGGAGTGCGCGCGCCTTTTACATCACCCAGCCCTTTGTCTATACCGCCTTCTCTGTTTAACCTTATATTTCATTAATTCTCCTGGCCTAGTATGTAGATCTCATGGATTTATTTGACTTTTGTTTACAGAATCTTCCTTTGAGTGTAGTGTTAAGGTGTCAGTATAGTGCTGGGCGTGAACATGAGCATGTTGGTCCGCCACTTCCTGTGTAACGCATGATTCCCTGTCTTAGTCACTCTTCCTTACTACCGCACCTACTTCTACTCTTAATAAGTTTTTCCTCTCTCAACATGATTTAAACTCATAATTGCATTGTATAGTGGGCGTATGTTTAGTGTTTACCGCTGCGTTTTAGTGGTGAACCCGTGTCTATGGCAACGTGTTGCAGTGGTGGTCGTGGTGCAGTTGATCAATCAATACTTGCCGCCGCCACCTGCACCACCTGCCACGCCCCGTCGCCACCACCTGCCACACTTATCTTAAACATATTAACATTGAAGATTGATAGTACGAGAGCTGTCTATATCCTGATAATCTCTAGATCTGATAAGTCTGTTGTATTGTGAATGAAGCAAATAGTTGATATTTACTTCCTTCAGGCAGTTTTCTCCTGCATGGTTTATTAATGATTTGTGAAAAGTATTTGCCTGTTAGTCATGACGAATATGAAGGAAAGGGAGACAGTACTTAGTAATTTATTTAGATACAATAAAACTTATCTTGATTTATTTAGATATAATAAAACTTGGTATCTTGAATTAAAGGTGTTTGACATTCAGGTGTTTGGGTAATTTTTTCCCGAAAACACGATTATTTTATTTTTTTACCTTTTACTAGAGCTGTTGGTAATTTTTTTACAAGTGGACAACCATTGATTTCTTTGTTGAGCAAGGTGTTTTTATGATGGTTTAGACAATGTTAAGACACTTTTCCTCTTTGAAGTTTCCCACAAAATAACTTAAAATTACATCTCCTAACTGGCCCCCCTGGATCCCCTGGTATGTTATTTGCGAGGCAAACTTCATAGAAGAAAAGTCTTAAGTGTTAAACCATCGGAAAAACGCATTGCTCCAAAAAAATGTATGGCTGTCCACTTGTAAAAACTTAACAAGTTGTTCTTCGTGCTGAATATTGTGGTGTTAATGATAGTTTGGGCAAATGTATAATAATAGTTATGGCTCTTACCCTAGGCTTGAAAAGTAGGAAAATTTTGGAATAAAAGGCCAAACTAAAAATGGTAAAATTATGGTTTTGGTTATCCACCTATTTGGAATTATGTAGATGCTTGCCAACAGTGCTTAAGAGACATAACAGACTGCCCAAGTGGCAAAGGAGTCGATCAGTGGCAAATAGGATAAAGGTTAAAGAATTGTTCCAAACGTCAAGTATTGGAAAAACAATTTCAAGCAGTTAATATTTGTCCATTGGCTGTCCTTGGGTTTTATTAAAAAATATAATTTTTTTGGCACTTAACTTAAATCTGACCTTCATTTCTTGCACAAGTTAGCAGTTTTGGGGAAATTTTCATTTGTAACAAACCGCTAATTAATTTGCACCAAAAATGGCGGTCAGGTCAGAGTAAAACACCATATGGAAAAAAAAATAGGCTAACCATTTTTTGGAGCCTACCTGCTGCTGTGGTGGAGGATACAGCTGGGCGATCTGGTTTGCTTATGGTTTGACAAAACAATGGCTTTTCTTAAAAGTAAACCTTTTCTGCTCAAAGGACAGTCTTGATGTTGGTAGGACACTGTGATCTTGTAATATGTGGATTGCCTCACTATTGTTCTGATAAACTGAAAAGGTTAGATAAGGGAGAGAACACTTTTTGGATGCCATCACTAGCCTTCAAAATAATTGGCCAGCCAAGTCACAGGACACAATACTTGAAAATCATTGGATGTCATCTTGCAAAGAGGAGAGGATGAGAAAAGTGACTGGCAACATGGTGGGTACAGAAATTTGAGATACTCGTTATTGATTTGTGCAAGAAATTATATGAAGTCTAATATTGGAAACCTGCAGACAGCCAATGGACGATTATTAACTTTTCAACCTAAACCTCTCGAACGGTGGTAACTTAAAATCCAAAAATTTGCTGGATGGCCAAAACGATAGCGTAACGAGACGCTGGTACATGTGGCTTTGCGCAAGATATAGGTACAGGAGCCATATGCGAAATATCAGTGTCTATTTGTACAGCAGCTTAATGCGCATGTGTGGGCAGACTAGAATGATTACCGAGATGCCTTCTTTCTGACTAACCTCTGCCAAAGCGGAAGGAAGCACTGAGTATCGCCTATTGCGCGTGCTTGATTCTCTACGGTACCATTAACTTGACCTAATCTTTTATTTTGCTTTAACCAAATTGTTTTTGGGTCCTCATTCTTCAGAAATGTAATGCACGGTAATTATTTAAGACTTAAAAATTTTTGCAATGCTGCAATTTTACTTTTATAGTGGACACTAGTAATTATGGAATTTTTTTTTTAAGTGGTCATTTCTAAATTAAACCTTGACTTTTAAGCAGCCAAGACATTGACAATAATGAGAAACCCTGATCCCAGCATTTTATTCCTTGCTTTGAGGGTGATTGTCATTCTCCCCTCGTATCTTTTATTCTACTTATCTGGCAGCGTGGACACCATCCTGTATGCCTTATCATTTACATATAACGTGCAACTTTGGAAATGTGAGACATGGGTATCTTTTAGCTACTTACGTTGTGTATCAGATGTGCCTTGTTCTTTAATGGCCTGAATTTTAACATGTTTCATATAATATACTGTAAACCTTATGTAGTGAAGTACTGTATTCTACAAAGCCTCTTTCTTTCAGTTCTGGGAAATTATCAGTGATGAACATGGCATCCAGCCAACAGGAGAGTACACCACAGGTGTTGAAAAAGATCTGATGGATCTTCAATTGGAGCGCATTAATGTGTACTACAATGAAGGAAACCAGGGCAAGTACGTGCCACGTGCTGTCCTGGTTGATCTTGAACCAGGCACAATGGACAGTGTGCGTGCTGGACCTCACGGCCAACTATTTAAGCCAGATAGTTTTGTGTTTGGTAAGTATTTATTTATTTGTGCATTTTAATGGATGTTGCATGTACAGGACTCGCTATAAAAAATCTTTACTTGGGAGGGGGTGTCCAGGAACACTGCAACTCCTGTTGTCTTGGTAGGGTTGTCAAATTCCTTCATCCTTGGGTCATACCGAAAGAGTTCCTGTAAACGTAAGAAAATAGGGTGATGTTGGGGTACATAATTCTATATGTGCATTGAATGCACAAAATAATGTTTTTACCTCCAAGCATAAATAAAAAGATGGATGCTGACTGATGCAGGAATATAGTATGGATCCTCTTCCTGGTTCTATGGTGTCACAAAGTAGTAATAATGCTTACACTGGTAGATGATGGAAATAGATGTTAAATTAACATACAGTACTAAGGTTTTGTCTACAGTATCAGACTTGCCGTTTAAGGATGATGAAATAATTTTTATTGGTGGTGCTTTAAATAGAATAGGGTGGGGGTGTAATTATAATTAACCTGTGGGCTTTGGCTAAATCAGTCCGTCACTTGCTACAGTGCACTAAACACCCAGATGATGTATTGATTTATATTGATAACTTGATAGTTAATATTTACTGGTGATTACCATAATACTGTTATTCATACTTTTTTTTTTCTCTCTCTCTCTCTCCAGTGTAAACGTTATTTGTAAATCAGGGGGAGAATTTCTATATTAATTAGGTTCTGGAAGACTTTTTTATAGCATGGATGCATTGTAAATAAGGGTGTCTTGTATGTTAAGATAAATAATGGAGTGTGGCTGTAGCACAAGGATGGGATGTGGTAGGCTATGCATGACAGAATGGTACATGAGGATTCGTTTGAGTGCAATGGTTGAGTGGGTACAGCACATGAATCCTATTCCAGGAGTTGGTAGTTCAGTTTCCAGGTGCTCCCCAGTTCATCTAACTAAATGGGCACCCAAGTTTGCAAATTGGGGGGAGGGGTGTGGTAGTGCAGTACCGACCATTCTGCATCTTCGTGTAGTACCAAAGGCTTGGTGTGCTGTATCCACGCTCCCTAACAAGTAGTCGTGCCTGTGGGACCCACTTAAATTTTTAATATATATATGGTGGTCATCATTTAGATAACTTTGGTTAAAAGTACAGTACACAGTATATCATAGGAGAAAACAGGGAAGTGTGGATAATTTTTGCATCAAACAGTAGTGAAAAAAGTAATAGGGTACAAAATATTTTGCTTCATTTATAGATTTCAAAGTACTGTACTGTACATGAATTGATATTAGAATAATTGAAAATGTATGTTTAAATTGGAAACATTTAAGTGGAGTGTGTTGAGTGTTCAGGTTTACTTAAGAGAAAAATTTGGTTACAGTTTAAAGGGCTACATCAAGGATGAGTAAAGTTACCATCATTTGTTGAATATTTTCATTGGTTAGACAGTAAACGGTAAAAGCGAGACTGAGGTTTAGTTAGGTTTATACAGTGTTGTTCAAAGATACATTAGAAAGTTGGTCAATTGTCTGCAACATGGGAATAGTAGTTCTGCCTATTTTGTTGTATGAAATACTAGTGTGCTACAGTACACGTGAATTAAAGAGGAGATTGTTTGAAGGTACTTGGCACAGCCATTGAGTAATGCTGACATGGCTGAAGAAGGTTGTCGGAGAACAGGTCCTTGGAGTGAGATTTGTATTTGTATGGTATAGTGATTGTAATTGTGATGTACATGTATTTAATTTACCCAGAGTTTAATACATAAAGGCTTATTGTATTTGACAGGTCAGAGTGGTGCAGGAAACAACTGGGCCAAGGGTCATTACACAGAAGGAGCAGAGTTGGTCGATTCTGTTTTGGATGTCGTCCGGAAGGAATCTGAAAAGTGTGACTGTCTACAAGGATTCCAGCTCACACACTCGTTAGGTGGTGGCACAGGTTCAGGAATGGGTACCCTGCTTGTCTCAAAAATTCGTGAAGAATTCCCAGATCGTATTATGGTCACATTCTCCGTTGTACCTTCTCCCAAGGTGAGAAACAATGTTATACTGGTAGTAACTTAAGAGTTTTGAAGTTGTCTGTTTTGCTATATCACTTGGTTTTTGTAATAGCCACTTAAAAAATAGGTCTTTGCAAGCCTCCTGTTCTTTCACATTCTCACTCCTACAAAATCCATTTAATATTGTTTACTCTTCATAGAGTAAAGGGTAATCAATTTTGAAAACTGGTAGGCTGGTCCACCTTGGATGTGTGGAGGGTGTTGCCAAGTTGATTGAAAGCTTGGGTGTTAAGGCACTTTGGTTATCAGTAATTTGAGATCAATGCTTGATAGAAAATGTTACTATACTGGGTTAGATATCTTTAGATATAAATATGTAGGAAAGTTAGGTATACACTGCAGAAGTTCTGAAATGCTCTTATTTGCTTTACAGGTATCTGATACTGTGGTGGAACCTTACAATGCCACTCTGTCCATCCACCAACTTGTAGAGAACACTGATGAAACCTATTGTATTGACAACGAAGCTCTATATGACATCTGCTTCAGAACGCTTAAACTGCAAAATCCTACCTATGGTGATTTGAACCATCTTGTTTCTTTAACCATGTCTGGGGTTACCACTTGTTTACGGTTCCCTGGTCAGTTAAATGCTGATCTCCGGAAACTTGCAGTGAACATGGTACCTTTCCCTCGACTTCATTTCTTCATGCCTGGCTTCGCTCCCCTGACTGCTCGTGGCTCTCAGCAATATCGTGCCCTCACTGTTCCAGAGCTTACTCAGCAGATGTTTGATGCCAAGAACATGATGGCTGCCTGTGATCCTCGTCATGGACGTTATCTTACTGTTGCAGCAATCTTCAGAGGGCGTATGTCCATGAGAGAAGTTGATGATCAGATGTACAACATTCAGAACAAGAATTCCTCATTCTTCGTAGAATGGATTCCAAATAATGTGAAGACTGCTGTTTGTGACATTCCACCAAGAGGCCTAAAGATGTCTGCAACCTTTATTGGCAATTCTACAGCCATCCAGGAACTGTTCAAGCGTGTAAGCGAGCAGTTCACAGCTATGTTCAGGCGTAAAGCTTTCCTTCATTGGTACACTGGTGAGGGTATGGATGAAATGGAGTTCACAGAGGCAGAATCTAATATGAATGATCTGGTGTCCGAATATCAGCAGTACCAGGAGGCCACTGCTGATGATGAAGCGGAGTTTGAAGAAGAGGGGGAAGTTGAAGGCGAGTATGATTAAACAAGGAAAAAAGTGATCTCTCCTAGTGCTATTGGCAGTCTGCCAACTTAAGTATTATTTTCCATGTAATCAAAGAATACCAATGGAACTTGCATTTCATTCCACTTCAGTTAACTACCATGTAGTTCTTTTCTGTATCATTCCTTTGTGTTCATCTATGGAGTTTTATATCTTTGTTTAAGGCTTTCTTATATTAAATTGTCATAGTTTCTATTTGTTTTCCTGACGCCCAGAATATATAACCCAGATGCAATTGTAACTGGGCCTTGATTATTGGTTAATGGTGGAAATTTTGATTAACTTAAGGGATTGACGCTGGTTGTGGCAAATGAGACGAACATAATTGCATTGAAATTTAGTGATGAACAATTTGCAGAGATGGAATTTTGGGGGAAATGTAGTGTAGAGAGTTGGTGGATATTTATAAAATTATGTTCAGTAGTATACATTGGATAAATGAGTTCTAAGAAAATACATTAGTGTACACTTGTGGCAAGTGTAAGACAAGGGCTGTGAACATGTTAAGTGGTTCGGTATTTTCTTTAAAGAGGCAAAAATTCATCCCCACCCAGTAGCCAGATCCAAAGCCAGTGATGGCAGATACTAACAATGCCAGCCAAGATAGTTTCAAAATCACTTGAGCAATTGCTGCTTCTGTTTACTCTAATAGGAATTTGAGAAAGGGTTATAAATAGCCTAAAAGTGGGGGAGGAAGACAAGGTTGAGTTATTACATAATGTTCCCACGATAAGGGGGTTGTAGAAGAGTAATGAGAGTAGGTTTAAGAATGCTAAGCTTGAAATTCCAGCCGAGATATGTTGGTACAGGTATAAGAAAATTTGAATGGGAGGAAGGTTCTTCAGATGCAGGTGGTAAGGGGGAGAGGACCTCTGAGAGGTGGATGGTATAAGGGTCATGTAGAGCGGCACCTCGGGAAGCAGGTCATATGAATGATAGTATTAGGTCGTCCTAGAATGAACAGATGAAACTGATATTCATTTATAACTATCTGTATTGTCGGAGGTATAACTTCAGTTGATAAGGTAAATAGAAGTTTTGTGATTGTTCTTGCAATTATTTGTGCTTGTACTCGGGCTGTAAAATGTACTCAAGTGTTATTATGGTGGAATGACTGGCTCAAACCAGTGAGATATCTGGATTTTATATTGATTTACCAAAGTAGTCCTACACAGTTCAGTACAGTATATACAATGACAAGCGGAGGCACCAGTTGAATACCAGTACAGTAATGACCAATCAACGAAGCGCTTCCCAGGTTTCAAATACAGGTACACTGTATGGAAAAATTTCCCCTTTTGAGTCTGCATAGGTCTTTAGTATGTACTGGCTTGGTTTGCATTTGAGAACATAAAATATGCAAGTAATGTTTGAAGTACATGTACTGATTTTAAACGGCAAAGAACGAAGCAAATTAGAAGTGACAAATGACATGTCTGAGAATAATACATGTACAGTACAGTATTTGAACTGAAAATGAGTGGAGAGAATAAAAAATAACAAAATGGGGAATGAAGTGTTGAGCAGAGGTTTGAAGGAGCTCTCAAGAACCTTGCACATCACCAAAAATGTTCATGGATGTTGGTCTCGACACCATGTCAAAAGCCAGCCAAAATATTATTTCATTGACTTTGACCCTGGACCAATACCCAGCACTGGCTGTGTGTGTTACCCTCTGTTGTACAGAATCAGTTCACTTTCCTATTTCAGACGAACGTGGCTATGAACAGTGACTGCACCCTCAGTTTCAAGACCTGGCTAAACTATTCAGAATAGACAAATTGTACTACAAGTTTTGTCAATTAAGTTATTAAACTAAAAACTAATGTTTGCCTATATTATTCATACTCACTACTGCTACAGCTGATGACGGTAAATGAAGAGAACCAAATTAGCTGCTGCCTAGGTGGTAGGCAACTATCAATCGGGGGTACTACCGCCTAGAAGATATTAGGAACATAATGTGTTGTTTAATGGTACATTCTGCTGCCATATGGCACCACAAAAATTGTGACCAAGTCCCAGGTTGCTGATCTGACTTTCTGCCTCATGTAATTACACACAATTGCAGGGTCTCAATTGTTTCTCTTACTTTGACAACACAACATACATAATATATATATAATTTCTCACTCTTGAATTTTTATGGCTATTATTATTATTATCATCATCATTTATAGTTTTTATTAGTATGATTATTTTTATTATAATTGTTATTTATTTGTTTTATTATTATTATTATTATATATTTTCGCCCCCAGGCCTTGATGTGGGTCATTAAAAAATGATCTGTGGCCGGGTGGGTTAATGCCAGAAAAAAAATTATCTTGCTATTTGAAATCAAATAAGCTTTAAGTACTCCGATGGATCAAATGAACTTTTGGCTCCCGCCTCCCGGGTGATCACAATATGGTTCCCATAGGCATGACTGCCCGACCCGTTAGGAACAGTGTGGATACTGTAGTACTGTACAACACTCCGGTACTCAAGGAGGCAGCACGATACTGTAGTGGATTTCTCCCCTACAAACGCTGCTTGTCGGTGCGTAGCCGACCCCACGAATTCCCCAGGGTATGCCTTGTGGTCTGAGTCAACCAGCGCCGCCATACATCACGGAGGTCAACTACTAAGCCACGCCTACCCCCCCCCCCTCCGCTATTTAAGACCTGACCTCGTGGTGATCGCTCTTTCTACCTACACCAACCAGCCAGCTACACCTCCTCCTCCGCCTGCCTGGCGGTCCTCGCTCCCGCCGGCGACCATGGCGACCCACAAGCTGTCCTCCTCTGAGCATCCTCACCAACCAGCTCTCTCTACATCACGCTTGTAACCACGCTGCCACTTCCCAGCACCAAGCTGCATTGTACATCCAATACAACATGTATACAGAGAGCACATTGTGAGTTTCCATCCTGAGTGTGAACACAAATATCCCATACCCCACAATACTGCACTTGACAGCCTTCACTTCCCCAAGTTGTAACTTACGGATGGGTGAACTTGGAACCAAACCACCGACGTCGTCACAAAAAATAAAACAAAACAGACTGCTAGTAAACTGATTAGTGGTAGATATGATAAATTATCATTGTGTACAATTAAGTCTAGAGGTTTAAAACTAAAAGAAAAATAGTACCACTGAACAAAAATGTTTTGGTATTTTAATCATAACTAAACGACGATTATAGTTGTTAATAGTATTTTTAAATTTCGCGCCTCAAGAAGTTTACTCAAGTTTAGAAATCCGGAATATCCTGAATTAATTTAATGTTTTGCTAGTATTTGTGGCTACCGAACTAATTATAAACATTGATCCATGCAACCAATGTGGATATTAAAAGTGCATTTGCCATATTTTTATATGTTAAATTGGGTTACTATAGAAATATCTTCACTTGTCAGCATTTCCTAATATGCTTCATGTCAATCAAAAGAGAATTATAGCTTTGTACTTGATATATTATTATTTAGCGTCATTTATTTTAAAGATAACAGAGTATTTAGATATATAATCGTAAAGAAAAATAGATAAAATATTATCCTTATTTTGGTGAGGGTCGCAGACTTTCCATGGCGGACGAGGGAACAATAGAACGGCCGTCAGTAAAGTTCAACATTTATATCACCATGAAGAAGTATTAAAGGACAGACTGAGCCAGAATGAACGTTCCTGTCTCATCGAATCACCCACAAAGTTATGGTAAGTAATAGATACTCCAATTACATAGAATTAAGCTAGATTGTAAGGGGTAACCTCAGTTATGCCTGCTGAAGGGCCGTCATTCTAGCCATTTTCTCCTAACACTCAAATGTCACGCGTGGGAATGAGCATAATGCCATGTTTATACCTCATTATCCCATGACACAAGTGAAGATTAAACTCTAATTACTTTAAATGGATGCTATTAATCATGACAGTGTTCACCCCGTGTTGAAGATGACGTGTAGTGAGTTGGAATACAGTAATAAAGATAGTAGTTAAGATGGCCTCTGGTGGGTGTCCCTGAGATAGAATGCTCGGTATAGGTCCCAGTCAGCTGAGTGTACTGACAGCTGACACAAGGCAGGAATAAAACAACACAAGAGTGAAGAATATAAACCTAAAGGATAGGTAAAGAAGAACAAGACAACAGAATACTTAATAACAAAGAGTGGGAGAAACAAGACAAGTTAACAGGCACGAGTATCAAGGAAAAGATCTAATAGCATTAAATTACACCACAACTATAATAACAGTTTTAGGAGGTCGTAACAACTAATATTGATTGACAATTTTCCTAGGTCTATATAGTAATGTGTAATGCTGAGATATTTGGACTAAATATTGATGGTCATGTCAAGAGTATTGAGTTAAGAGTTGTATTAGCTTACAAAAGAGTACAAGCAGTTTAGGCGGCATCAGTATAACATTTTCTTAGAATTTTCGCTAAAATGTTTTTATTATTATTGATAGAATTAGGAATATGTTGCAGGAACAAGGAAGAAACAACTTTAGGTTTATTTAGGAAACAATATGTAGGTCATGGCCTGCACTTCCTTGGTCCCTTAACAGATTATCAAAACTGTTCTTAATTTTAATTTGTCTGGTCTTAGTAGAAACAGTCCAGAAGTGATAGAAGTAGATACAGTACTCGAAGTTTGCCTGTCCTCACAGACTCTGTGTTACATCCCTGTACAAGTCTAGGACAATATTATGGCCTTGTATCAAGTACCTTTTTTAAAATTGGAAAAATTAAACCTCCACAACCAATTTCGTCGACTTAAAGTATATACAAATATATTCCAAGATTGTTAGGTTAGCTCAGATTTTTACTTCCTTTTAAGATTATTTACATTATTTTTACAAAAGGTAAATTTGGAAATTACAAAGTTTAAGACTTATCGAACTTGAAGAGAAAAGAACCTTGCTTCTGTGATGTTTATAGAAAAAAAAATGGTGTTACAAGTTCTTACAATTACCACTATGTTGCCCCCAGACCATTACATTTATTCTTGTTAAACTAAGACAGTTTAGAGATAGTTATTATTCGCCAAGCACAGAAATCACAGAGACTTGCATACTTCCCATTTTTTAACCCCTTCACTATGGTTATGCTACTTTATGCCAGACGATTTTATTCAGCTCAAAAGGGACCTCGTACACAAGTGGTTAGGTTAGGTTAAGTTATCTCCAAACATTGATAAGTCCGTGATCCTAAGCTAAGTCATAATGAAGACTGGTGTGACGGTACAGTAGTCATGTTAACAGCCAGATGGTAATACTTTTGACACTGGTCTGGGTTAACAAACTTCCTAAAGAAAAGCAGCTATAGAAAAAACTTATTTTTTGCCTCAAGAATAAGACAAATTGGGTGGAGAAATAGCTGCTTTTTAGTTTTTTCCCTAATTTGCCTGTAAATAGACTCCATGCTACCTCTTGTTTCACTTCTGTTTACTGGAGCAGAAAGGTTTCATCGACATTTAAACTTGTTTCATACTCACTAAGAAACAACAGGAATTTAAAATTTTTTTTGTATAGATAAACCATTTTTTTTACATTAAGAAATACAGTATACTGTAGTCTCGATTACGCGGATTTCCTTTATGTGGTTGGTCATTTACGCGGCACCTGGCCAGACTGGCAATTATTAGTTACGCGGTACATTCCCTCATTTAAGCCTCAAGCGGCGCGGACGGGTTGCGCGCTGGTCGCCCTCACGCCACCGCTGTCCATACGCGCCAATTATTAGTTACGCTGTACATGCTTGACCATATGCGGGAAGCGGCGCGGGGAGGGTGCACAGTAGGTTGCTCTTATGTTATCGCTGACGTCATATGACGTATCTGGCTGTGATTGGGCCACGCATCCTTACCACCCACGCATTCCCTCCGCCGCTAGCTGTGATTGGTCTAATGTAACATGACGTGCCCTGCCACCAGAGGGAATAAGTCGCTGACCTTAGGTGCGCCAGTCTCACTCTCCTCAGTCTCCGTGTATACAGTTCTCTCTTGTGCCTGCTAATCTGTTCAACAATGGCATCTGCTGGACCCCCACCACCCCAGAAACACCTTGAATTACCTGGACCAAGCTGCCCCAAGCCCAAGAAGGTGCGACGCGCCTTAAGCTACGAAGTGAAATATAAAATCGTTCAGGAGTTAGAAAAAGGAACGAGGCAGGTCGATCTGGCGTGACAGCATGGCGTTAACGAATCTACGATCCGCACCATCAAGAAGGATGCCGCCAAGATAAAAGAACACATGAGCATCACAAAGTCTGCAGGTGCCTCGTTGGTCAAGTATTGTCAGAATAAGGTGCTGCTCAAGACGGAGAATTTATTGGTGAGCTACTTGATTCGTCAGGCGAGAAGGAACGTGGCAGTCGACATGTGGGCAGTGCAGGACTACGCGAGAGAACTGTACGTATCAGTGGCGAGAAAGATGGGAATTGCCGAGCCCAAACCCTTCGCTGCTTCCGCTGGGTGGCTGCAAGGGTTTAAACGTCGTAACAAGATCACGAACGTTGAAATTGTTGGTGAAGGAGCGAGTGTTGACCGTGCTGCGGCGATGGATTTTCCTCCATTCTTACGAGAAATTATGGAGGAAGAACAGTACACCTACGACCAGGTGTTCAACATGGATGAATCCGGGCTCTTTTGGAAGAAATTACCTTCCAAGACATTCGTAGTCAAGTCTGCCAACAAGTGTAGGGGCCGGAAGTTGCAGAAGGAGCGCATCACCGTCTTTATTCACTACCAATGCCTCCGGCACCTGTAAGCTCAAGTTGTCTGTGATCCACACAGCCCGCAAGCCGCACGTCTAAAAAAACATGGACATGAGCATGTTAAATGTCCACTGGCTAACCTCAAGGAAGGAGTGGATGTTCACTGGTCTGCCCCTCTCCTGATTTGATGACTGTTTCGTTCCTGACGTGAAGAAATTCTGCCCGCAAAATAATGTGCCATTCAACATTTTGTTGCTCCTTGACAACGCACCAGGACACTCGCCCCTACTGCTGGATCGTCACTCCTATGTAAAAGTGGTATTCCTTCCCCCAACACTACGTCGTTAATCCAGCCCATGGATCAGGAGTTGATATGCAACGTCAAGGCTGCTTTCTCCACAAAGAAGTTTAAACTCCTGAACGACTTCGCCAACACCAAGGATGAGTTGCGGAACCTTCTGAGTGGCACCGATAGCGAGAGCGAGGATCCAGAACAAGAGTTGACGGAGCATGAAGTGCGAGTCAAACAGTTTTGGAAGATGTTCAACGTCAAGAAAGCTGTTGATTTCTTGGTGAAGGCATGGGGGCAGCTGTCTGTGGCAACGATTTGTCACGCGTGGCGGCATGTGTTGCAGGGTATCCCAGGTGGGAGGCAGAGTCAAGCGGTGGCTGGAGAGGCTCAGCCTGTTGCTGTGGCATTGGACATTGCAAAAGAGGCTGCACAGAGTGTTAGAGCTGCAGACTTCTCCGAGACCACCGACGACGACATCCTGGAGGTAATCAGGCAACCTGAGGTGACCGCGGACGAGTTGTTGGAAGATGATGACATCAGTGAGGAGGCAGGTGGTACGGCAGAACAAGAAGAACAGAAGTTAACACATGGTGATGTAAAGGAGGTCATCGAGTTGGCCGGGAAACTCAAGCTCATCCTTTCCAAAGACCCAGTGAATCACTGATACGAAGTCTCCAATAACCATCTGTTGCAATTTATTGAGCCGTATATCCAGATGTATCGCGACCACATCAATGCTAGCCGTCAACGTAACAACCGAGTTCTTCGCCCGCAACCCACCACAACCACAGCCAGCCCAAGTCAGTGACAGTGACAATATTAACTTTGAGGGGTTTGTCAGGGAGGCCCAACCTCTGTGGTGGATAGTGATACAAGTGATTCACCTGAGGGCCACTAATCTGCCCTCTGCCTCGGAACCAGCCCCCATCCCAGTGTGCCCAGCCATCTCTTCTACTTACATAAGTGTTAAAAACCTTGATATTTCTCTTATACCTGTACAGTATATTATTATTTCTTATTGATATTTCTCCTTTATATTATGTGTGTGTGTCCATACCATCATAAAATTAAGATGTTATTTTTACTGCAACGTAAGTATTGTGTCGGAAAAAGTGTAGTCTGGGGGTCGACCCTATCTCTATTCCAATTAATCCCGTATGTTCTGTTATTTCGTTTATGCGTTCCTCGTTTTACGCGGACCTCCACGGGTTAAATTGACCGCATAAATCGAGACTATACTTCCCAAAAAGGACAAGGATTTGCAATTTTCATAATGATATTAGTTTGGCAATACAGTACACACAAATGCTTCCCAGCAGCATCTTTTCTGTACTCTACATACAAACACTTCAGCGAATGTTATGTCAAATGACTTATTATAAAGTTGAAGCAACAAAACCTTGTCTAACAACTTAACCTGACCTAGTTTAACACAGCCTTAATCTGACATAGTCTAACACAACCTTAAACTGACCTAGTGCTGTACAGTGGGGTATGCTATAACGAACGGATCCTACTACGAATATTCCTATAACGAACGGTTTTACCTATAAAATTGAGAATGTTATAACGAACGAAACTCCTACAACGAACATTATTTAAATTTTTTTTTTTTTTTTTTTTTCTAATTTATATTTTTTTTATTACAAGTATTAATGATATTCTTTATTTCAGGGGTTTAGATGCATATTTATGCACTTTTTTACAATTTTTACAATTTTATATTATATTTTTCAGTGTTAAGTGGTTGTATTTGGGGGCCTGGAACGGATTACTAATCCTATAACGAACGAATGCTATAACGAACAAGGTTCTAGAACCAATTAGATTCGTTATAGCATACCCCACTGTATAACCATAACCAAACCTAACTGATTTTTAAGTTCAACCACAGTAAAAATGTTTTTCGAAGATACACAATTTTTTTGGGGGGGGGGAAGCCAGTGGGCAGAAGTAATGCCAAAATGCCGGATAAAGCATAAGTGGTGACCTAAATATGGTGATAGTATCAGTGTGTTGACTTCCATCTGTCTGGTTCCTGCAATTTTGGTTTGTATCATCAGTATTCTTTGAAAAAGAAATTTGACAATGAAGCTCAAAATTTATATGATATCAGATGATTTCAAGTCTTACACATTCTTGTTACCATAAAGGTCTTGGCAAATTAGTCTAATAGCTAAGAATTATGTTGAACTTTGAAGTCTTTATTTTATATAGTTTACTGTATTACATTTCAGCAATCATTCAAGGCAGCCAACCCCCTCTCCTAGCTACAGCATCTACCTCTGCCACTCTACAAGCCGGACATCAGCCCATAGGTAGTGGGGGTGATGTTCACATCTGTGGTGCGTGTGGGTCTCAGTTCACAGAGATCAAGGAATTTGTCAACCACAAAAGACAAGGATGTCAGGCAGGTGGTGGTGTGGGAGCAGCAGTCAATGTGTCACAGCCTCAGTTGACATCACAGTCAACAGTTCACCAGACACATCCAGCTCCTGGTTCTGTGGTTAGTTGACACTTATGATTATGTTGTGATCTTTCAGGATTTGAATGAATAAATTGGGTTGTGGTTTTGGTCATCCATAAAACTAGTATAAAAACAAAGCAGTGACTTAGTCATTTCTCATCACTGCAATTACATGTACGGGGTATTGGTAAGGGACCCAGTGAAACTGACCCTCAAAATGTTTAAATAATTCACCATTCAACCCCTTCACTGTTGTAATATGATTTAGGTACCTGTATGAAGGTATATGTACTGTGATATAGATATAATTGTTTTTATTAAAATCTAATTATTTTTATTTATGTGATCTTTGGTATGTATGTATGTCAGAAATATTGACAGTCCAGTTTAATTGTTTTAATCATTGTAAATTTCCTTGTGCTGTTTGCAAGTCCTTGTAAATTTTTCAGCAGATGGGCATGCCTGTGGGGATGCCACATGTTATCCTACAAACAGCGTCTGGACCACCACAGATGTATCGCATTGTCTTAGAGCCCAGTGTGGGTAACAATTCTTCTCAGAGTACCTCTATCCAGGCTGCCACACCCATCTTGGCCCAAGCTCTGTCTGGGGGTCCTGTCCCACACCTTGCACCCAACTCAGGACATAATCCTCACCATACACATAACCATGCGCATCACAGCCCTCATCCTCACCAGGTCAGAAAAACAGTGTTTGTTAAGCTTTATGTTGATGTATTCACTGATCTCATTTCCACCAGTTTAATAGAATATGGGTACAGTAAGTCGTTTCCTAATTTCTTGATGTTGTGTACCATAAAATCTTTGCTTGGTTAATAGTTTTGAAACTTTACCACACAAGCCTCCATGTTAGCTGAACTCTCTCCTTGTGTCTTGTGTTTGGCCTTCCTCCTGTCCCATATACCATCCTTTTTACATTTGTATACTAAGTGAGAGCTAACTGACCACAAAAAAATTTGTGAAATTGTGTTTTTCAGATGAAAATTTTTGTGTTTTAGTATACATAAAACTATTGTCTTTATTATACCCGTATTACAAAGATGTCACTTTATTCTGTTCATTAGGAAGGAGTAAACCAGGTGGTAGGTCCAGCCACAACAACATCTGGGGCATCGAGTGGTTCTCTCCTGCAGCTGGCAAATGTAGGAGGGGAAACTTGGCACACTGGTGGAGCAGCCACACTAACACCTTCAGGATCTGTTGACAGAGAAGGAAATGGAGAGAAAAGGGTAATGGTAGAGGGTAATCCTGCAGGGAGACCTCTTGAAGTTAATCCTGGAAGGGGAAATAATGGAACTCCTACAGGGTCTGTGGACAGAGGAGGACTGGAGGGGGATAGTGGAGGGACGACTACCTCCTCGAGCATGCATACCGAAGAGGAGGATGTGGCCACTTTCTTGGCTACACAGTTGGCAAGTCAGGCAGCACCACCACACTCCACTAGTAAGTCTCAAATGGAGATGGTATACATTAACCCATTTGGGATTAACCATTTGCTTGCTTCCTCAGAAATGCCAGTTCTGCAGGGTTGCTTTTGGGTGACTTGGTGAACCCCCAGGAGGACTGGATGATTGAAGCTTATCCTTACAGCAAATCAATCTTAAAATTTTACTTAAACTTTATAATCACAAACAGAGCGACTCTTCAAGTGCCACGGACTGAGAGGTTTTTTAGTGCCTCCCAAGTGCCACAGGTGTGGACATGAGGTTTGGAAGGGCCTCCAAGTGTCAGTGGTGTGGATCTGTGAAGTTCAGAATTGGCCTGAATGCCTCAGGTGCAAATGTGTGTAGTTTTAAAGAGCATCTCAGCACCACAGGTGTAAACGTTCGAGGTTCAGAATCTGGAGAGGATATTAAATGAAACAATATTAACCCTGCAGAAATGTGGATGCTGTGAATCTAACAAATTAGGAAGTAAAGAGACAAATTTAGAGAAATATATAAGTAGACAGGGATGACTACAAGTATGTGTAAAAAAAATTAGTAGAGTTCTGTGGTGTTTTAAATTTTTCATACAGTAGATGGATGAAGTCTTGTTTCAATCAGTTACTGCAAAATCAGATATTTTTTTTATGATTATAACTGTTGATGGTATTACAGCTGTTGTAAGTGAACAACTGATGTCAAGTGTTGTAACTAATGAAGGTCAGCTGCACTACACTTCTGCCCCCACCCAACCCAACCACCACCACCACCAACACCAAGTGCAACTTAACATGCAGCACCAGCACCAGGCAAGTTATGTAGTATATGAGGAATGAGTGGAGTGGATAGAATGAGGAATGAGACTACATGTATTAGAGAAAAGGGGTATACGTAGTTGTAATAAGCAGGTGATAAAGCACTGAAATAATTCAGAATAAACTGTATAGACAAACTGATGGAAAGATAAATGGGAGTTGATACATTAGATGAATGTCTATGGAGGAGTCATGGATATACTGTACCAAAAGATTCTGTTGGTTGAGAAGAACAGTACAGTACAGTATTGTGTGATTTATCCTGTTATTATGAAGAAGAGGATAATACTGTTTAGAAAATAAAAATAAAAATTATGTAAAGTTATATATATTGTTGTGTAGATTATAATCTTGACCATAGATCCCATTATAGGTAGATTCATATGGCAGTGGAATTCGGTCATCAGGATCTGGGAGAAGACCAATGAAAGTGTCACCAACAGAAGATACTTTACACTCTTCAGTGCCGGTTGAGAGCAAAGTGGACGTTCTTAGTGCATGTGCAAAAGAGGTGAGCTTGTAATGTATTTCCTGTTTATAGTTTAAGGATCTGGGGTAAAAACCTTGGGTTTTATATAAAAGGTACTAAAATGATGCTTGAAATAGAGAAATTTCATTTGAAAAATTTGAATTGTAGTCCAACACTGATGCATCACTTCTTACAAATTTTAAATGTTGAAATTTGGTGCTTTTATCTCGTGTTGGACCTACTAAATTAGATAAAGGAATACACCTACAAATTTTTACAACAGTACTGTATTTTACAAAAATTATATTTTTGATAAAATTTTGGTATAGGTATAGTACTCATTAACATATGTTCTAGAGTAAGGGTTATCAACTAGATTTTTGCCTTTACCCTAAAACACTTGATGACAATACAGTACTGTACTCATTAATCCCCCCCAAAAAATTTGTCCAATGGTGGCGCATGTAAACAAGAAGTCGAAAAACTGGGAACCATATGTGTACCGTCTTGCCTGACAATTTGTATTAGATTAAAAAAAATTTAATCATGTATTGTATACAACAGCATTGTCCTCACAAAATTTCAAATTACCCCTATTAGAGAACCTGTGTTCAAGAGGGATTATTCTACTCTGAAATATCTGCCATTTCTTGACATATGTACTGTACTTTCATTGTAAATTGTATCTTATAGACTGTAGTCGTTCATGATGGTATCCACAAGGAGAAGGCTTGCCCTATGAAAGACTGCAATTTTACCACCTCTCATAACAAAGATCTTAACCGTCATATACGAAAACATACTGGTAAGTTCGTCTTGTTTTGTCTGATTATGTGTTTAGGATCTTGTCACTAAAATGTTGTTTTCTGCCATTGTTGCTAAGACTATACAGTGTGTTTGAAGGAACCTTTTTGACTGGATAATTCATTAGTACTAACCTAACCTATTGACGATGATGAAATAAAACTAATAACACCACAATCTATAATAACAAAACCCAGCCTAATCTATGAAATCCCAGAGTCAGTTAATTTGAGATAAGGACTCACAGTGGTGTGTCTGGCACACAACAGTGTTTTTGTGGTGAAATGACTTGCTGTGGAAGTGCTTAATCAACTCTTCATAAGACCAACCATTATTGATTTGTTCTTGCTCAATAGGAGAAAAGCCTTACCGGTGTGAGGAGTGTGGAACATGCTTCTCCAGAGGTGACAAGCTCAAGGTCCATGCTCGAATACACTCCAATATGCGGCCATATTGGTGCCAGGAACCAGGTTGTCAGTACCGTGCCATAGACTCAGGCAGTCTTAGGAAGCACATGAGAACACACACGAACGAACGACCTTATAGGTATGTGCCGGGTATTGGTATAGTATAAAGTTTGACACACAGGCAGACTCCCAATTTACTAGGCTTTGATTTACAAGAATTTAAAGTTAATGAAACAAAAAATATCCTGTGCTTTGATTTAAGAGAAAAAAACCCTGAGTTGAAAAATGTTATTGTGATGCTGATTTTCAACTTTAAAAGCTGGTCACAATAACACCTTACATCACCCTCCAGGCACACCATCACTTTACGTGTCGAGTACTTCAATTTATCGTAATTGCAGTACAGTATACATGTAGTACAGTACTGTACTTAATTTGGAATATATAAACTTAGTACAGTATTATTTATCAGTACAGTCAGTAGCTTATAATCATTGTTTACCCTAAACTTTTATGATAATTAAAAACATGTTTAATGTGAATTTATTACGTTTTGTGATTTTTTCGTACAAAACATATCTCCAATTACACAATGTGAATATAATTATACAATGGACATAATGTACAGTACATTGATTTACATGAACTTTTTCAGTAAGGTATCCCTGTCATAAATTTCTTATCTTAGTTTCTAAACTGGTCAATGGAATATATTGAATATACAGTACAGTGGTCCCTCGGTTAATGAGCACAATTTGTTCCAGAAGGTTGCTCGTTAACCAAAAAATTCATTAACCAAAACCATTGTTTCAATGGGTTTTTGGGTAATTGGTTCCAGCTCACCGAAAATTGCCTAAAGTCAACAAAAACGGTAGTAAAGTACACTTACTTTGAGGTGTGTATGTAGAAGGCTCCTGAATGATGATGATGGGAATTAGAATGGGGGTGGAGGAGAAGGGAGAAGAGAAGGCATTGGGGTGGAAGAGAAGTCACCCCATGGTGCCATTTCACCCATAAAATTTTAGTTCACTTGGTGTAATTCAAGATTATTTTCTTTAAATCAACACTGCACTGCATAATATATTGTAACCAGGTGAGAAGGTTGGGTCACCTTACCCTCTGACCTGACTACCGACCGTTGCCGTGCTATTTAAAGATTAGTAGGGTCATTACCTAATACCTGACCATTGTGGACCTGGTCTCACCCTCCTCTGTATATATACACCTTTTGTACTCCTCTTTAGTCTGTACTCACCCCTGAAGATGTGAATTACACGAAAGCGCTTGGGAACTTCGTGTTTTCTTCTTTCCTTGTGGTTATCAGCATATACCTAGATCACGCGCACCTACAGTGATTTACTTGCATATATATATATATATATATATATATATATATATATATATATATATATATATATATATATATATATATATATATATATATATATATATATATATATATATATATATATATATATATATATATATATATATATATAGTAACAAATTTTATGTATCATATTTAATGTAGCATATTTTATGTAACAAATTACTCTTTTATTGTCTTTTTTAATTCTTTATATTTATTTATTCTTACTTCTTTCACTTACTCTTACGCATTCTTTTACTTATTCCTGCTATTCTTTCTCGTCATACTCGTGAGAGGTGGAGAGGGTGAGGGAGGTAATTGTTTATGGTTGCAGTCAGCTGGTGATATAGGCTTACAGTTGATCCTCTCACACACACCAGCCAGGGGAGACTCAGGGAAGCTGGTTAGGGGAACTAAGATACAATACTTCACAGATGGGAAATATAGGATAGTTATTGTATATAGGACTCACCATATTACTGCATAATACCAAGACATTTATAACACATACAGTACCTCTTTCTCAACAAGGAAGGGACGAATTAGGACTCTTATTAACGGTGACTGTATTTATTGAATACTCTCTATTAGGGTTTGAAAATCACACTTCAAAACAATAATCCTTTGCTCCTAGCTAGTTAAACAGGGACCATGTATCTCACAACAAATAGGAACTTAAGGATTTATCAAATAGAATACACCCAAATACCTGCCATGTTGCCACCACAGACGTCCCACACCTCCCTACACAAAATTCCAACTTAGACTCCGCTTTTCAAACTGCGTCATCCCACAAGGAACGCCACAACTTTCATGACGTCACGCCTCATAGGCTTTCTCATTGGTCGAAGACAGGCCTAAGGCCTTCATACTATTGGCTTGAAATTGGCGGGAACTCTCAACTCATGACATTGTTACAATATATATATACTATATATATATCGGAAATTCTTCCAGTAGCAGTGTGTATATGACTCTTGTATGTTTTAAATTTTTTATCTTCAAAATTTTAAAGATTCTGCTTTGTTCCTAATTACTGAACTTTGCATTTTCAGATGCCAGTTATGTCCATATAGTGCTAGAGATGGTTCTCAACTTACAGTTCATCTAAGAACACACACAGGTTGGTAATACAATACTACTACAGTAAGTTGTATTCCCTGGCCCTGTGTTTCCAATGTCCTTCAACTCTAAGAAAACAAGACAGTTTTCCATACAGTATTACTTTTTATCTGTGTCTTATATGCTGTAACTCTGTGTATTCAATTATTACCAAGGACTTGAAGAGTATGTGTAATTATGAAAAATTTTTCTTTTTTGTATAAAGGGGGAAAGGAAAAGAAAGAGGGTCCAATAGACATGATTGCCCATTAGGAACAGTGTGGATACAGTACAGTGCACTGTATACTAAGCCTTTGGTACACAAGGAGGCAGCATGGTTCAACACAGGCCAAGTTCATTTACTAGTGATTATGTCAACTGTTTAGAGTTATATACCCTTGAGGGGCAGGGGTGCACCTGAGTGGACACAACTCCTGCTGCCTGTTCTAACAATCACTGGTTTACTCTTGAAGCCAGGCCAGGCAGACAGAGCAACTGCACAGGGCCCCCAAGATGATAAAAATAAAAGTAAATTAGATAATAAAATAAGATAAATGTAGTAAAACATTAAAATGAAAATACAGTAGATCTATTTTGTTTTTAAATGGATAAAGCTATATCAGATCATATGGGCAGTAGCATAAGAAAGGTATATAAGTATGAAAAGGGCCTCTAAATTAAACCCTTGCCCTGGGTCTCTCTTGTCATAAATTTGGCCCTGCCTGGGACACTACCTAGTAGACCTAGATGTGAATGGGTATCTGACTTCACTATTTGGGAAATGAAGGTTGAGTACAGTTCCAGCCACACTTTCTTCTATGGACTGAGGCCTAGTGCTTGGTGTACAGTGTCTGTGCCACCCCTAATGGGTTGTCTAGCCTATTTGTTTCACATTCACTGCAATATTTGGTGGTGCATGAATAATTTAATACTGTACCACTTAGTGACTGAGGTACAACAGAGGGTTCTGTTTGCACTAACAATTGAAATAATTATCATGATTGAACGAGGAAAAGAATATCTATATCCAAACTTTTGTCTTAAATTAACAAAAATTATTCCTTTTATTACAGGAGACACACCATTTCAGTGTATGATTGAAAATTGTTCTGCAGCTTTCAAAACAAGTTCTGATCTTCGTCGGCATGAAAGACTTCACACTGGTGTAAAGCCTTACAAGTGTACAGCCTGTGACTATGCTTGTGCTATCAAGTGTAAGTTGTGTCTATTCCAGATAAAAGTATTGAATGTCACTTCCTCTCCATCATCTTTTAATTTCACAGTGACACCTTGGATTTGATCAAAAATCATTCACCACTGTCATTGCTAGAATTATATACAGTACTGTACCAATAGCAGTAGTTCAGTAAGTATCCTTGTCCAGCTCCACCTTTAACCAGAAACCACTGACTGTACTGTACTCGCTTCAGTATTACTGTACTTCTAAATCTTATTAGTCTTTCTCCTTATTAGTCTACCACTGCCTGTAATAACTTTCCCTTCATATCATCAACTCTTAGTGGATACAGTACTTTCTGGCTGCATTAGTCAGGCCAATGTCTGCTTCTCCTGAGTGACTTGATTGATAATTTTTTCCATGGGAGGGATTTTTATTGAAATCTCTCCTCATTTTACATACTGCAGTGTATACATCCAGCCTTGCATTAATTCTGTCTTAAGTCATTTTAGTTCCTACCAACGCTTCTCAACAAAATTTTAATTTACTATGTACAGTACTTTTATGTCACTTTATGCTGCACCAACCTCCTTTGCTATTTACCCTGATATCTCTGATGTTTCTGTGCCTCATGATCCACTCAGCACAAAACTGGGAGAGTTAATACAATAGTAAATGTATAGTTTATTCTTGCCTGTGGTGGTATAGAATTATCATGTAGTGTTTTATATCTGGTGTGACAACCAAACCAGAGGATAGAATTATAAACAAGTGTTTTAAATTTTCCAGCACAATTATTTGTCACTTAAAGGTAGACAAAATCTTTAGGAAAGAGTATATCACCTCTTGAAGGAAAATTTATAAAGGAATCGCCATCATATTTTATTGATTGGTTATATGTACTGTGCTGTTTCACCTTTCCCTTGTATTATTTTGGGTGTACAGTACTGTACTTTCTCTCCTTTACCCTCTACAGTACTATACAGTAAAAAATTTTCTTACTAAATAATCCTGTTACCAGTCTTCTCCTTTTCTCCCTTGCCTTGCACTTGTCATGTTTCTGTTTATCTAGGAGGATTATGCAGTGATCCTCAGCAGTCATACAAGTCAATAATTAATAATTCATAAGACTTTGGCAAATTAGTTTTTACCATTACAGTATTTTCAAAACATAGAAAGGTTTTGTATATAGTTAAGCTGTTTTTGTGGGTGTGTGGTGGAGAGATTGGTTAGACTTCTGGAAGCTATCATAGTTGCTCCCACCCACTGTACCATCTGGAAGCAGCATCAATTGTTATGTGTATCTCCTCTCACTGTGAAAGATGTGACTGGCTGCAGTGCACCACACTTGCCCACTGCTCCACATCAACCACCATTGTCATCATCTTTACCAAAAATAAACAATATATATCTGTTGTGAAGTTCATTTTCTTTTTAATCCATAGTTTACATAAACATCACCAAAACATTAAAATCAATCAACATTCCAACATTGAAGTAGGCATTAAGCCACTTACAGTGTGTTGGTGTCATCCAATACAATATGTTGCTTTAACATGGCATTTTTGAGAACCTTGAAAATATTATTGTAAAGCAATTTGTTAACTTGTGTTTTATTATATATTACAGCGAATTTGACAGTGCACATGAGGTTAAATCACTTCAAGGGTGCCAAGTTCAGCTGCACTAAGTGTGAATTCTTGGGCAACAGCCGGAAACAGTTGAAAGACCACGAGAAGTCTCACGCAAGTTAGTACTCTCAATCCAGGGAATTTCCTGTTATTTCTTGAGCCATTAAACTGAGTGAAACTTTCAATAAATTAGTATTGTATTATAATTGTAGCCTTTACATCACCCAACTTGTGTATGTTGGAGAAGGTGTGAGTAGTCCTAAGTTAATGTAATAGTAAAGTAAAATGAAAGTTTAGTCCTGTCATGTTACTTTTTGCCAGTACCAGTTATTTGCAGTAGTTTTTTATTGATAAGTATACTGGATATACATGTAGATATTTAAGGATATCTTGTTACTGCTCTTTCCATTTTGTGACAGATGTGTTGCTACAGTGTGATCTATGTGATCATGTTAGCACCAGCAGCACTGGCCTCAGGCAACACATGTTAATACATTCCCAAGAAAAACCATTTCAGTGTCGGTACTGTTCATTTACCTGTAAGACCACAGGTAAGTGTGTAAAATATATCGGTTCTAATTTTTGTACTGTATGTGTATTTGTACATTACATTAATCTGTACTGTATCATGTCATCCATTTATAGTTAGGCTATCCAAGTAGTAACTCTAATATGATTATACTAATTAAACATGTCCATTTCCTGAATATAATGGTGTAACTGGATCCAATCCTGGTGTGAGAATTTTCCTAATGACATCTTCCATGAGCCCATACTGAATTGTTTCATTTTGTGACATGTTTCCTCCCAGATACTGTATCCCATTACAGTACATTCCACACATCAGCTCTCCTTGATGTTGCTACACAAAGACACACACCCTTTCTTAATTATGTGGATGGTGGACTTGTTCATTCCATACTCATGGGATAAGTTATGTGCCCCAGTTCTAGTCGCCCTAAATATTAATGTGCCCCAGTCTAAGCCTTACCCATCATCATCATCATCATCATGACATATATAATAATGTCGTACGTATAATAGTAATATTACACGAACATAATGTCTTTTCAATCAAACATTCCTATTCCCTTTGTTTACATTGCAGATGCTATGTAATAGATTTAGTTAAAGTAAAGCACAGTACCACAAAACTGTAATTAAACTTTGCAAATTACAAGTAGGCAGTGTAGGACCAAATTGTTTAGTTAGTGACCCTTCGATCGGAGGATCACAACCAGAACATTGTGATAAAGGTGGTAGAGGATGCAGGAAAAAAAGTTAAATGTTTTAGCAAAGGATATCATAATACTTCACACATCATATTATTAAACCAGCCCCCGATAATTCATGCTATATTCTGGCTAAGTGCTGTGCTTCCTTGCCTTCATTTCACTTAATATCAAATGTAAATTTTTTTACTAAGGTATACTTCGTCTATTTCTCCAGGTAATCTTCGTTATCATGTTCGAAACAAACACGGTTGTGATGTATCTGGTCGTAAACGAGGCACGGCTGGCAACAATAACGTGGGAGGCCGAGGACGCAGTAGTGCTGTCGGGGGTAATGGTGGGGGCAGGAGGACAAACAGGCCATCGTGTTACCGCAGCTTTAAGTGTAGTGAATGTGGCAGTGGGTTTGTGCGAGAGGACTCATACAGGTAAAAACCATAAATTGCTTTTAAAATTAATACTGTATCATGTGAATCTGATTGTCTATAAAATTTTGAAAATTCTGTACAGTATATATAGCTTTGCATCTCATTACTACCACTCTTATGTGGGTTGGATACCTGTATGAGGCTAATTTTTTGTGTTTGTTACAAAGAAAATATTTTTCAGATCACATATGAGACAACATGAAAAACACAAGATGGCTCAGGCTATATCAGGGAAAATGGAACCAGATGTGTTTAGTGTTGTTGTGCAGGTAATGTTCCCCGTTGAATAAACTATTGATATTACTTAAATAAGACTCGTAGACTAGGAAAAAAATGGCACGGATATTAAAATTGAAAACAGCAGCTAAAGAGAAGGAACTATTTTACACATTATCAGTCTTTGTTCATCATAGAAATGTGATAATATATATATACTTTTTAGTAATGTTATATTATCAAAGTAATATATGTTCTACAGGATGAAGGTATGATTGGTGTGGATCAGCCAACTGGACCTGACGACCCAACAGCAAGTGGTGGGGGCGTCGCCACCTTCCAGACTGTTCACAGAATACCACACGAGTCTTTACAACCTGGTACTCTTATTTCCCAAAGTGCTGTAAGTATATCTTTCAGTTATAAAAGTACAGTAATGTACAATATAGTTTTATCCAGCTCAAAACAATAAAAATTAATTGTTGTAGCTTTCAGGATTATGGCGACTCATGCACTGAGGGAGGGAAAACTTATTTCCTATGTTGTACCAGAGGTTGTGTTGTTCACCTGTTAGAAATTCTTCATTACAGTATTTTGAATTAAACTTACTTTAATAATGATGTCGTATAATTTTGACATCATCAACATATATATAGTGTAGTAAACACTTCTCAAAAATTATTTGATGCCATGTACTGTACCCTGCTAGTAGTGTCTGTCACCCCAATTCTTCCATCTCCTTTTATTAAATCTAAATGTTAAATATAATTTATATTTTAGGTTGCAGCCGGTGCAGGAACACAAGGCAATGAAAACAGCGTTAATGGTTACAACTCCTACGTTATCACAATAGATGGGATATCTACCGTGTTCTCAAATCCAGTGCGTCTTGCTGGCAATACCGTCACCACAGAAACTGGAGATCCACTACCAGGAACAGTACAAGTCATAACAGGAGACCTCATCACTTCACCTGACTCTAAAGTTGCTGGTCATCAGACGTACGACCTAAATGAAGACAACAAAGCCGCTGCTTCTCAAACAGCATATGAACTAACACAGCAGGACAAAGTCAGTCAGACACAGCACCTGTATGATCTGGCCCCTGGAGATAAGGTTGATCCGAGTCAGCCAGCGTTTAATCACCCTCAGGACCAAGTACATGCAGGATCAAACAGGGAATATTTAGCACACTCAAACTCCCAAAATGTGCAGCAAAATGTTCTTGTTGAGCAACAACAAGGAATTGATGATAATTTGGATAATTCTATTCATGTACATAATTTATCTGCTAAGTCTCCAAAAACAGAATAGATTTTGGATGAGATGTAAATATTTCTTATGAAATGTTTAGCAGTAAAACTAAAGTTAGAGGTGAAAGTGGCTACCGTAGTTACCAATGGATATAATAATAGAAGCCCTAGTTTGTATAAGATTATCAAATGCTTTTGTGAATATTTTCATAAATGAATGTACAATAAATGCATATACTGTATGGTATACAGTATGTATATCAAGACGGTTTACTTTGAAAGTCACTGAAATTTTTTGCAATTATATTCATTGGATTTAACTGTGATATTTTTTACCTGTGACAAGTTAGATACAGTACCTTATTATATATCTGAGATATTATTTCCAAGATGTAAAGTATATAGACATATATATTTTTTTGCATATGTTAATATACTAGAAGAAGTACACATGAGGGTGTGACCTGGACAGCTAAGATTACCTAGTAGTACAGTACATACTGTAGTGGTATTTATGAGTCAAGTCACATGGGCCCGATGTCATATATCACAGGCAGGTTAGGTACTGTATATCTCTCCTACTCTGGATATTTGTGAGACAGTTGGGGGTTTTACTAGTTGGTAGTGATATGATTATACTACTGGTACTGACTCACACCAGATATCAATCACATATTGCCTTTTCAATGAGGATTTGAATCTTGGTACCAATAAACTACCAACCCAGTAAGTACTGTACAGTACAATAATCATCACCATACACTAAACACAGGTTATCTTGATACACATTGCTGTAAGACTTCTGACACCAGTTCTATGTATGAAACACTCATGAGAGAACTATACTTTGGTGAGGCAACTCATAAATACTTGCTTTTGTCTTAAACCAGTGGATAAGAAGTTCTTCAAATCTGTAAAGAATGGTAGTCCAAGTCAGAACAAAACTCTAGTACAGTACAGGTAAATAGAAAAGAGTAAAAATTCTGTGCATAGTAGTGTTTTATGCAACAGTTTGTTGAATTATCAGTCACCTGGATGTATGGAAAGTTACAAGACTAGACTGGATTTTTTGGTATTTATGTTCCAACAAAATTAACACTAAATGAATAAAAATAGAAAATATGTACATTCTGTAGTGAGGCTGTAAATAAACATTTAGGATAAACAAAATGGTCAGATTACAAAATACTGTACAGATTTGTATTTAAATATTTAATACCTTTACATTACTGTATTTCATTTCTAATCTTGTCCTTATTATTAATTTAGGCCCTTAGAGTCTGTGGTATGTTATGTGTAAATGATAATTTATGTTTATGGTTTTTGGGTCCAAACAGAAGTACAGTACAGGTATTGTGTGTACTGTACATGATACTCTGTATTTTGGTTCCATCTTAAAATTCACATGTTCGTGTAATGGTTGGTCCCGAGTATGTGTGGGCCAGAGAGGTTCTACTGTTGTACCTATAATTATTTCTTGAGTCATATTAAAAAGAATTAACTATACATTTCTGTAAATGAGCACACTTAATTTATATACTGTACACTGAAATAAAATTAGAGCAAGTCTAGTTACAATGTATTTACAGTATCTTTCTGGTTAATGAACCAACTGCTAAGATGCTGTACTACAAAGCTTACATAATACAGTAATCACACTGAAATTGACTGAACAATGAACACATGCCCCAAAAAATATGAACACGTACACAAAGGGTATGTTCTGGAATACAGTAATGTATTTACTAAAGCTCAGATTGTATTTGTCTTTTTTAAGTATTGACCATATGCTATAAATTTGTTTTTACCAGACATCTGACACGGTGGAATACTGTACACAAAATCCAAACTTGGATTGGGTTTATGAAACATACTAACACTAGTGTAAAAATCAATTGCAGTACTGTATAGTAATTCAAATCCCTTTTCAAAATTATTCTTAAAAATTGTTTATTTTTTTGGGGGTGTTATTATTTAGACATCTTGATGCACGTGTTCATTCTTTTTTACACACTCGTAGAAGATTGTGGTCTATCTGGCTATTATTATGCTCATGGAATTTGGACACACATATTCTGATGAAGCAACATTAATATGAAATTTTGTTGGGTAGGCTCTGAGAAGCAAATTTGTAGCAGTCACTTTGCAAATCGATTTCTACAATAGCCTTATACATGTACTGTACAAGATTGTGTTAGGTGGTCAGCAATGGGAGTCAGTGTCATACAGATACACTATGCAGCACAATCCTTCATCGAGATACAGTGTGCAAGTTTTATGATAGAGAACAATAGTGATGGAATTCAACATTGGTGCACTGCCATTATGTTTCAGTTAGAGATTATTATGGATGTAAATTAAAAGGAATGGGAACAGTTTAAGAGTTGGTGTACTAAAAAGTGAGGAGGCTGAGGTGTGTAGCTGTGAGGAAATGGAAAACAGGAAGAGGGTAAAGGTGGCATAAGAGGCTGGTACAGTAATACTAATTAAGGAGAAGAGAAGACTATATGCATACTGTACCTGCTTTAAGTACTGAGTGGAGCGATGAAAGCTGAAGGGATTACTGTACATGGTTTAAAAAAAATAAAGGAAGTAGAGAAAATTGCAAAAATGATGAAATAGGTAGAAAGTTTGTCATAGGTTTAACAAAAAAAATGGGCAGTCCTTGAGGGAAATTGAGTATGGGAAGAAAATCAAGAGAAATGAAAATGATAATCAAAATTAATGATAGGATATACAATACAGTACTGCAGTTAAATGGATTAATAAATGGGAGCTATGTAGAAGTAATATCTTGAACAGCTGCTACACGTCTAAGAGGATAATCTAACCTAACCAAAGCAAACCTAACTTTACTCCAAAAAGCCAACCTATCCTAGGAAATTTGTGACTGAACCTTCACAAATAGTATTTAAGTACTCTAGAGAATGGTGTGGGCGAGATACCCGCTGCTCTTCACTTTTATTTTACTGAAACTGTTGTCCAAACTTAATCATATGGGTTTCCCATGCCTGATCATATTGCTCTGGGAAACTTTGTGCTGTTATGCTTTTCCTGAGCAAGACATGCATGCTGGGAATTAGCTGCGGCTGGGCCCTGAAACAAACTCGAAGACAACATAAAAACTATTTTACCAACTACTTTAAAAACCAACAATTCATAATTTACTATGAAAATTAATTCATAGTATTATTTTCTTACGAAAAAAATAGTAAAATAACTATATTTGTACTGAAAATAATTTCTAATATGACTTCCAGTTGTTTACGATTTTACCCTTGTCAAGGCAGATCAGGAATGGCTTGTCTTTAAATTGTGAGGTTTAGGAAGGCTGAGGTTGAGTTCATAGAAAAAGTGAAACCAATGCCAGCCCTGGTGCACGCCATGTGCATGCCCACCATTATATTTGTCAACAGTGGGTAACAGACGTGATCAACTGCCCAAGCAACTAACAGGACGGTCAGTGGCCAAGAGGATAAGCACTACAGTACAGTAGTTCTGAGGGTCGTCTGTTGGACGGTGACTGATCTACCAATCTTGGGCGCCGTGTGCTATCACTTCTGGGAAGACTGCTCCGCCAACGGTATTTTGCTCGGGCAAATATGACCCATCACCGGTTTGATAGGGCAGTGTCCATCACCCCAGTGACCAATTAACTTAGCCTCGAGAAGCCGCCAGCCAATGAGCGTCCAGGGGGTTTAATATTTACACTGCAGCCGTTCGAGTGCCAGCTCTTCTGCTCTGTTTTTTTCTGTGCAAACTATTCGTGAATTATGATTTCCTCAGATAGTGACATTCAGCCAGTGGTGTCTAGATATTCATAGAAATGTAGGAGGAATGTGGAGAGCTGGTGTGGTGTGACAGCTAAGAGAAAAAGGAACATACATTTGTTGCAAAACTTACAGCTTGTTGCGGCCCGTGAACTTGTGGCCGCTTCAGTGATGTAGACACAGACAAGATTAACGTTATTATCGACAAGTTTAAGGCTATAGGTGACTCCAGCCAGCAAAATTACTATCTGTCTAAGCTTGTGAGTGCAAATGATGTGAAACAGCTGCCACACCACTTACCAAGCTGACCAACATCAGCAGTCATTGTAAGTGTTAAGTATTTATTTAGTAATAATAGTAACATTCATGTGATATTAATACACATTTTTACTTTGTACCATTAATATTTGTATTTATTGTTGCACTTGTGGCCATATTTTCCCTCTTACATTATCACGCACCATAATTTACGGTAAAATAACCACAAAATGAGACCTTGTTCACCTAACTAAAGAAACCAATCATATTCCGTGTTTACTTGCGTCAATTACTTATATTACAGAATGTATTGTGTGGTGCAGCTGGACTTTATAGGTAATTTATTGATTAGTTAACGTTTATCTATTTTAAGCATGTGATCTAGTTCAGGAGTAACGGGTGGATGAAAGTGAATTATAGTAAATCGATTGTAAGGTCAGCTGATCCTTAAGATTGCCCTCCCCAGTTTATTTCACCTTGTGTGTGTCGTCAGTTAAGCTTCATTAGAATTTAGATTACCATTGGAGTTCACTGAGGTAAGTTGGGATTTCATAAGGGTACCACTTTGCTAGACCAATGAATGCATCATTGCGGTAACACACACATACACACACCAGCATTGTTGACGTCACTCCAGTCAAATCGTTATACAAGTTTATATTAGTTTAACATTTTGACAACGTATTGTATTAATGTATGCATCAGATCACGCGGTCATGCACAACTTGACTCAAAATTTTATCAGTACCACCAAAGTGTATGTAGCGTCCCAGACTACAGTAAATTATCGGGTACTAGCAACGGGTGACACTGTGGTTAATGAAGCAGTTTGTCAGTGGGGCAGTAGTGGTGACGAGTATTAGCTATAAACTTTCTGATTACTTGAAGATTAGACACCCAAGTTTATTTCATCTGATGATTAAACACTCTTAGCGCTATCTGGTGGGGTTAGGTTTGGTTAGAATAGTTTTAGGGTATTTATTCAGGTGAATTAAGCGTGGGTGTCTAATTTTCAGGTTCACTAACAGTTTGCAGAAGTACGGGGAAATCCTCCGTCTCAGAGTCTTGTCAGGTCTGTCTGTATGGTAGCCTAATGCGAGCTGAGATAACATTATTTCTGAGGATTATAAGTGTGTACAGCCTGTCTACGATACTCATGTGGGAAGGAAAGAAACTGATCATATTGGTGGATGGATTGACTGTCTATTCCTACGATGGGTTGTAGGAAGAAGAGCACTGTCAGTAGCACACAGTCCAGCGTCAAGGTGAGTCGCTGTGGGGCTTCTTGGATCTCCGGGTTTATGGTTGAGAGGGAGAGGCGAAGGGACTTTAGTAGTTAACTGTACTTAACTGGTTGTGTTAAGAAAAACAACAACGAATACGGCTTCCAAAAATAGCATCAAATTTACCCCGAGGCTTTATTTATCACTGGACCCGTTCACGTATGACCAGTTTAGCGACAAAATTATCGTAGGTAACGTAGGTAATGGCCATATCATATACAGTAGTTAAGAAAGTCTGTAATATTGGACGCTTTATTGTGCACGAACTAAAGTAAACCAGCCAGGTGCATTTTTTCCTTCTTTAGTTACGAGGAATATTCATGATTATGATCTTTTGAGAATGTTTTTCCAGCCTGGTTTCATGACGTCATTGCGTGTTTTCAGTGGTCTCATAAAACTTGGTTTGCATGAGCGAGTACCATGGCGTCAGTAGAGAAAGTCTGGCTGCTTGTCGCCGGAGAAGGTAACTTAAGTAACCCCCCAAAAAGGCATGACATTTACAACCTAATTCTCAAGGTTAGACTGAGCTATAAATCAATGACGTGAGGTAGATTCATATTTGGTTATCTGGGCCAGTCTACTACCTCATCCCTGCTGCACCACACAATACATTCTGTAATATAAGTCACCTTTGTCAATGAAATGTTATTGAGCACACTACGAATAAATTTGGGAGGCGGATCAGACAATTACGACGCAGAACAGGATCCCAGCAATATTGTCTAGGTAGACTTGGGTGCTGTAGTGACGTCATCAGCCTTCACCAATGGGGAGCTTGAAGTGAAGAAGTAACCAATCAGAGGCCAGTCCTGCGGCCCAGCCCCCCAGCTCCACCAGTGGACCTGCTCTTCCACGTTAACTTTATGGATCACGGCTGGCGGCCACGTGAAACTCTGCTGCACGGCACAGCTTATCTGGTTTGAGCCAGCTGTTACCTACCATGTCGATAAATAGAGAGCTAGAGTCGGGGCCCTTGTGTGAATTATCTATCCATCTCTCTATCTATCTATATATAGTGTTACGTTTTTAAGAACTATTATCAGCAGCTTCAGTGTTCATAGTAACGCCAGCAGACTCAGAACCCCAGCGATTAGAGATACCCGATATCTCTTTAATATGTCCCAGTGAAAACATAAACTTGTTTCCATATTAAAGAGACATTGATAATACTAGATACGTGGTCTCATCGTAAC